TGGTGTATGTATGTTTGATTGTTTTCCTCACATGTAGAGATCAGGTTCAAAGTAAAGGAGGTGCCTAGAAATCTTGGAATTTTTGTGGAAGAACGTGACCTGCACAGATGCACAGGTTCATGAGTGATGCTCCCTGGGACTCCAAGTTGAGACAAATCCATGATTCTACCACTAAGGTAGATAAAAATCCGAAAAGTGACTGTGAATTTGATGAAATTGGAAAGAGATTCAGACAGTCATCCTAAATCACTGTAAGAAAATGACCTCAGGCAATGACTGTGTTCAGGATAGAGAAAATACCAAGTGCTTTACTCAAGGGCTAGAGCTTTTTCATTCCCAAGAGAAGGCTCCTGAAATGCCAATGTATCCAGGTAACCAATGTGAAATGGCCTTGAGCTGGACTTCAGAACTCCTCAGCCATGAGAAAAGTGATACTGGAGGAATGTTTTCTCTAAGTAATGCTGGTGAGAAGACCTTGAGTCAGAACTCTAAGCTCACTACTCATCAGCAAATTCCCATCAGAAAGGAGCCTGATGAATACAATGAATGGGAAGCAACCTCATCCCATCACTCATCTCTTCCATGCCAGCCTAGATTTCACTCAGGAATGAAAAGACATACATGTCCTCAGTGTGGGAAGGCATTTAGTTGGAGCTCAGATCTTCATAGACCTCAGACTACCGATACAGGAGAAATGTTTTATAAATGTAATGAATGTAGGAAGGCTTTCTGCTACAAATCATTTCTTATTGGCCTTCAGAGAATCCACACTGGAGAGGAACCTTTCAGATGTAATCGGATGTGGAAAGACTTTCAGATGGAGGTACACTCTTGCTTTACATCAGAGAATTCACACTGGGGAGGGAAACCCTAGGAATTAATGTGGAAAGCCTTTCAGACAGGCCTCCAGCGTTGTTAAACATCAGAAAGTTGATACTGTAGAATGATTTCACACTGATCTCACATTTTGCTAAACATCATAGAGTTCATTCACACTGCAGACAAACCTCATGAGTGTTACAGAGCTTTTAGTTACCACTCTTTATATATTAACAGAAGACTTTCCACACTTGGGAGAAGCCTTATGCATATAACCAAAGTGGTGATATATTCAGGTAACAATAATCCATTGCCCATTGTGGAAGTCATGTTAGATAGAAATGTCATGAATGAGGAAAGGCATTCAAATGGGGTTCAGAGTTTCTGCAGTTGTAAAGAAACCACTCTGAGGAGCAGATCCCTGTGCACTCAGTGTGGGAAGGCTTTCAGCTAGAGATCATCTCTTACTTTCTATCAGAGGTTTCATTGTGGAGATAAGCCTTACAGATGTGTTCAGGGGTGCCTTGCTGTTCTCTGGAGGAGGGTGATCAGTAGACACCCTTATTCCTACTGGAATGAAGGTGGATAAAGGCAATGGATGTGGGAAGGGCTTTCACTACAGCTTCTACTTGACTGTACTTTGGAGAAATCCTCCTGGAGATAAAGCTTTGGAATCAAATTACCAAGGGAAGGCCTACTGCTGCAGCACAGACTTCATCAGATCTCCTAACAGAGAACTCATTAAATATCCCCAGATTTCATCCTGTGTCTAAAGCAATATACATGTAAGGATATTCTCTGAAATTCCAATGTTTGTCATCCCTCCTCTGTATTTCATGGTGTTCATGGACTATCATTTCTTCTAACACATTTTGTGGACTTGAATGAATCCTCATCCAAAGACCAATTTTCCCCCTAGCTCTGATTTTCCCAGGTAATTAGATGCCAATGAGGGAGGCTTAGCAGTACCAGATCTTATGCTCAATTGTAAGGCAGTAAGTATCAAAACTCTCTGGTGCTGGGTAAGAAATAGAAAGACAGATCAATGCAGTAGCGTATACCTACAGCAGTAAATAAACATAATAACCTTGTATTTGACAAGTGTAGCAACTTAATATTTTGGGATAAGGATTCAATATTTAGTAAAAATTGTTGGGAAAACTAGAAAGCAGTGTGATTGAAATTTCACATGCACACACACACACACACACACACACACACACACACACTCACACACCCCTAATTGTGTGCTGGTAGCCAACTCTGGATGAAGGGAGAAACAAAAGGAAATTTACATGATAATTTTGTTGTGAATTTTAAAGGAATAGGAAGTTGACCATAGCAGATTTGCAGTTTCGTGTTCAATCATCGATTTTCAATTAATTAAATTATATTTGATCTTCAACATTCACTTTTATAAGCTTTTCAGTTTTAAATTTTATCCCCCTCCATCCATCGCCTTCCCATTCCCCAGGATCTGTGCAATGTGTACAATCATCTTTTTATTGTACTGTTTGTTTCGTTCAACAAATTCAAAAAGAATTTTTAATGTAATTTGTCAAAGAGGTAGAAATAATTTTTTTCAGTGCCTGTGGATTCACATGAACTAGACATCGTTGAAAACGTATGATGGTTTATAAGCAAGGCCAGTATGAGCCAAATGGACAGTTTGTCTAAGGCATGCTTAATATCCAACATGATAAAAGTATGGTTTCATAACACTTTAAGGAATATGTTCAAAATATCTGAACTAAATGCCCAAATATGTTAACAAATGATAAAAAGAAAGAAAACTCTGGAGTTACCACAAAAGGGAGATATATCGCATATTAAAAGGTGTTTTAAGAGGTTAAAAAAATAAAATTGAGAAGGAGACGAAAAATTAGCAATTACGTAGAAATGAATAGTCTAGGAATTAGGGAGGAGTGGAGGGCAGGTGGTGCTGGAATCTTATTCTCATGGAATTAACACAAGAGGAAACAATATCTAAGCAGACCTGTTTTGGAAAAAGAAATTGACCAGGCCATACATGACCTTCCGAGACAAAAGTATCAGGAGCAGATGGATCTGAAAGGGAATTTTACCAGCTGGGGAATGGCTGAGCAAGCTGTGGTCTATGAATGTATGGAATACCGATGTGCTATAAGAAATGATGAGCAGGTGGACTCCAGAATAACCTGGAAAGACCAAGGTCAAGGCCTAGAAGAGATTACTTGGCCCTTTTTCTTTATTTCCCACTGAACGTCTGATCAAAGTGTCAATGGAAGAAAGTCCCTGTATTTTGGGAAGGAGAGCTTAGCATCAGAACTGCATGCAGTGTGTCACAGAGAGCTATTCCAAGGAGAAACTTTGGTTAATTAACTTAAACTCATGCAAGACTTTAATTTAAATGTTACCACCTGCTATGATGCAAGCAACTTAGAGGAGGCTAGTATCGAATGATTGGAATCATATGCTGTGCTTTGGTCCTCTTAGACTCTTCATGACCCCATTTGGGGTTTTCTTGGCAGAGATCCTGGAGTGGGATGCGATTTCCTTTTCCAGTCCATTTACAGAGAAGGAAACTGGGGCCAACAGAGTTAAGTGACTCGTCCAGGGTCACACAGCTAGTAAGTGTCTGAGGACCGATTTGAACTCAGGAAGATGAGTCTTCCTGACTCCAGGCCTGGGCTCTATCCACCATGCCACCCAGCTGCCCCAAGATAGTTTTCTAAACCTGCTCCAATTTATGATTCCCCCAGCTTTCCTTGAGAAGAGCTAGGGACTGGATTGTGCTGGGAACTGGGGCTGGGGATTGTGGGGTCCCTGCTGCGAAATGTCTACTTCTGATAACGCAGAAATTAAAAAGGTAAAAACCTCGGTTTTATGAATATGCTCCAGCACCTTCCAGAAGACTCTGACAAGGCCTTTTAGAGGCAACAGTGCAGCAGAGGGACAGAGGAATCCTCCATTTCAAGGTTGCCATCTTGTGCATTCCCCTTAGGCCAGAACATTTCAAGAGAAGACAGATCCATAATCCCATACTTCCTTCAAGGTGGTCAAGGTGGCTGTGTTTGTCCTTTGTTCTGGAAGAAGTCTGGGAGGTGAGGATGTGACTTGTAACTGCCTTTGTCTCCAGGGAGGGAGGGCCGTGCCAACTCCAAGGTTGAACACCATTTCAAAGAGTCATATTCTCATACGTTGCCTCAGGAAACCGACTGTATAGGTAAACTAAGGCAGGTTACCGATTACAGGAGAGGCAGTGGGCTCCCACACGAGCTGAATGAGGATGAGGTTTACATGGTAGCCAAGGACTCAGGGTCAGCTGAGATTCTTACTGTGCTTTCTTACCTAAGGAACGTTGAAGACTCTTAGTAAATGTTCACTCTCCACGGCACAGGTTTTGGTCAGCTGAGGTAAGTGTTAACCACAAGTTTGCAGAGCAATAAAAGCTATGACCATAATAACTAACATTTAAACACCACCTACTATGTGCCCTGCACAGTGTGAAGAGCTTTACAATTATCGCCTTTGAAACTGACAAGCCTGGGAGGTGGGGGCTGCCATCTGCATTTTACAAATGAGGAAACTGAGGCAAACCTTGGCTCCCCTTGCCAGAATTGAGGGGATCCTTGCTTGGGAAGGCCAGAGTAAAGGGGCACAAGATGCAGCTGGACAGGTGTGTGGCAGGGTTTTTATCCACCCCGGGTGGGACCCACGTCCTCAGCGGGTGATGGGTCCTTCAGTTTTAGAGGCGACGTGTATATGCATTCAGGTGTGTGTGTGTGTCTGTCCTTTCCTCCCGGGCTCTGTCCAGAGAGGACAGGACTTTCAGGTATCTTCAGGTAGGACCCTTGGGCAAGAAGAAGGATGGATAGGTGACCATTCTTTGGAAGCTTTGAGGATGCAACGGCCCTTGGCAGGGAGGTGGGGCACTGACCCTTCCTGACTCTGTTTCACGTTTTCTAGGCAAAAAGATACTGGAGAGCTTGGCCACTTCCTTCTTCAGCTTGTTTGACAGTAGAGGAAACTGAGGCAAGCAGCTTCTGTGTCTTCAACCACTCAGCTGTTAGCCTCTGCCTCAGTTTCCTGTTTTGTAAGAATGGGATAACAGCCCCACTTCTCTGGGTCCTTTGGGGCTCACCAGTGTTAGAAGCATACATTAGGGGCCTACTGTGTGTAGAAGTACGTGCCCTGCCCTCTAAAGGGAGACTGCCCAGAAGAGGAAGCAGAAAAGCGGGTGGGGAAAGAAGTCAGGGGACCCAGGGCAGTGTGGTGAATAACTTCAGAAACCCACAGCCAATTATCTGATCCTGGAAGGAGAGGAAAGGAGGATGGGTTCCCAGAATGCCTGCCCGGTGACGTCACGCCCTCTTTAGGACCCCGCCTTCTGCGGATAAGACGGCGCCTCACGCCATGCTGGGAATCTTGTGCTGCATAGGGGCTGGTTCCCTAAGGGACCAGGAGTTGGGAAGGGCAGGAGGGAGTCAGTGCGCATGCGCAGCCCCGCCCCCTAGCTCCAGGTCGGTCCTCTCCTCCCCCTCTGCCTCCTCCCCAACCCAGAAGGACCCAGTTCTGGTGCCTGTGACGGCTTCCTGGGAAACCTGTGTGCGCGCGTGAGCAAGAGAGGGAGGGGATGGTGAGTGTGTGTGCTTCTGACGGGTAAGGGCTGGTGAGTGTGTGGTTGTGAGTGCAAGGGCCGTTAGGGGGAGGGGCTGGTGAGTGTGTAATTGTGACTGCAAGGGCCGTTAGGGGGAGGGGCTGGTGAGTGTGTCCCTATAACTTTGTGTCTGAATTGTGTGCGGTTGTGACTGTGTGGTGTATGTCCCCCGATGTGGGAGGTGGTCTCGGGTGCGAGGGGTCAGCAGGGAAGCCGGGGCTCACTCGCCCCATTCCGCAGGGGGCTGCTCACTGTCCTACCCGGCCCGGGCAGTACTGTCCTGCCTTGACGGTCCAGCCTCCTCCTGTCCCTGGGTCAGGAGCAGAGGAAATCATCGCAGCTGGCGCGGCTGTGGCCCTTTGGGGCCCCCACGTACTGTCCAAATCTCCCGTGCTTGATTCCTCACAGCAGCCTTGGGAGGGAGGTCCCCATTGTATAGATCGGGAAACTGAGTTAGTCAGCGGTGAAATGACTTATCCAGGGTCACCCAGCCCACAACTGAGGCCCCATTGGATGCGGGTCTTCCTCCTTCCATCCCTGTTCCCATTCCAGGGATTCAGATGAAAGCCCTGTGATCTTGAACCCAGGCTTGCTGGTGGCCCAGGGGCTGGCCCACAGTGAATGGGAATGAAACCTTGGTGAAGGAGTGTTAAATGAGCACAGCTTGTCACATGCTTGGGGTCCTAGAAGGGCCTTCCTGCACACTTCAGCTGAGGCCCAGGCAGGGAGACTGACGTGCTTCCAGGCACAGTGGTAATAAGTGGCAGGGACAGGATCTGAACTCAGGTCTCTGTGGTCTAAGGCCAGTGGGCAGTGGGTTTCCTTCCCCTTGCTGCATGCTGGCTCCCACACATATAACGTGTGTGTGCCAGCAGGCAGGCATGTGCACGCTAAGGAAAGCACAAGCCACTGTGTGAAGGGACAGGACAGTTTTAGAGCCCTTTTCATTCAGGAAATTCTTCAGGCCCAAAGCCACCTTTGTCTCAGGGACACCCTTGGGGAGAGGTGCCCAGCTGGTCTGGGCCAGCTGGGGGAGACCTTGGGCCATGGGACTCAGGCTTGTCTAGTGTGGCCCGTAATGAGAAAGAGATCAGGTGGGGAGAAATTCCCCAGAACCCCTGCTGCAGGGTGGGAGTAGGAGGGAAGGTGGTAGAGTCTTTCCCCTGAGGGCAGGGCCTTTGTGACTCCTCTGAGAGCTGACCCTCTATCATTTCTGGCAGCTCAGTATCCAGCCTAGGAAGAGAAGACAAAGCCAATGTCTCCCCAACTCTGAGATCTTTGTCTCTCCCCAGGTCAGCTTGCAGAAGGCCAAAGCCTATGCCTAGGAGAGAGCCTGGAACCAGAGAGCATGGCCCCTGGGACCCAGAGCCCCTCATTCCAGGTGAGTGCAGTCCATCCACAGACCTGACCAGCCTCAGCAAACCTGGAAGCCAAGAGAGCTAAGGAGGCTTTATCCTCTTTGACGAAGGTTGGTGTTTGCGGTGCTGTGAGCAGAGCAGAAATTGTCCCCCTGCTTCTGCTCATGTCCTCCTGCTTCTGGTCACCCAAGTCTTCTCTTCTCTCTGAATCGCTCTCATTTCCCCTTTCTTAAGTCATATCAGTGAGCATTTAGAAAGTGATTCCTCTGTTCCATGCGCTGTGCTAGCCTACTGGGGATGAACAGAACAAGAGTCTGGCCTCAAGGAGCTCACAGTCTAATTGGGAGAAAACATCTCTTCAGTATGCACGGGAGGCGCCCTGAGAGGGAAGGCTCTGGCAGTTTTGGGCACTAGGAAAAGGAGCCTAGCCTGGCAAGTTTTTTGGGGACTCAGCAGGCAGGGACCTTGGGGCTTTCTTTTGGACAAGGTCATCAAATCTTATCAGCCATGGAAGACATTGCCTAAAGAAAGTAACAGAGTTCTTTAGGAAAATTAGAAATTTCCACCTGGAATATCATCTATGGCAGCTACACATTTGAGCCAAGTCATTCTGAAGAGCTCCCAGCCTTGATTCAGAATGGGACCTGTCCTTGAATAACCCTGATACTGCCAGATCTCGGAATGCAGAAAATAAGAGACTGGCTCCAATCCTCATGGTCTGGGTGCTCCCTCCTGGTAATTCCACAAACATTGATGATATGCCAGGCACCAGGCTCAGTCCTGGGGGTACAAAGCAAGGTGAGCAGACCCTCCCTTCCAGGAGCTCACTTTCCACTGGCTTAGTCAAATCAACAAGTCAGTGAGGTTTTTTTAAGCATCTGCTCTGGTCTAAGCAACTCGGGCTCTTAGGATTCCAAGAATGGGAAAAGAAAACAGACACTTTTAAATAACTACAAACTTGCATGCATACATACATACATACATACATATGTACATACATACCTACTTCCATAATCTGAAGCTAGGTGGTATACTGGATGGAGTTCTGGGCCTGGATTCAGGAAAACCTGAGTTCAAATGTGGCCTTAGATGCTTCCTAGAGAGTCGGTCTCAGTTTTCTTTCCTGTGAAATGGTGGCAGTAGGACCTGCATAACAGAGTGAGTGTGAGGATCAGGAGAGGTAATGTTTGTCAAGTACTTGTGCCTGGCACATAGTAAGCACATTGTGTAAGGTAAATTTCAGGAAATCAAAGAGGGAAAATGGACCGAGAAAGGCTCCTTGTGGAAGATGGGTGGTCAAGACTGTTGAATGAAGCAGAGAGGTGAGTTAGGATGAGTACTGAGAAAAGATCATCAGATCTGGGGATTAAAGCATCAGTGCTAAGTTTGGTGAGAGCACTTTCAGGAAAGAAAGGCTGAAAGCCAGGTAGTAAAGGGTTAAAGAGTGAGGGCAGGAGGGCACCAAGGTGGCCTATGGTAGAGCACAAGGCTTGGAATCAGGAAAACTCTGTGAGTCCAAATCTGGCCTCAGACACTTACTAGCTGTGTGATCCTGAGTCATGTAAGTCACGTAAGTCATGTAACTCTGCTTGCCTCAGTTCCTCATCTCTAAAATAAGTGGGAGCAGGCAGTGGTAAACCACTCCTGTATCTTTGCCTAGAAAACCTCAAGTGGGATCTTGAAGAGTCAGGTACATCTGAAGTAACGGAATACCATCTAAGGAGTCAGTGAGAGAGGAGAGTAGAGAAGTTCAGGCAGGTATTTCAAGGAGTTTAGCTGAGAAAAGGTGAGATAGAATGATTGCTCAAGGGTGGTGAGGGTTTAGGGAAGCATTCCTAAAGGATGGGGAAGATGGGTATGTTTGAAGTCAGAAGGAAAGAGAGTGGCTGAGAGAGAAAGGTTACAAATGTGAGGGATGTGCCTGTGGGCAATGACTGAGTGTGCTGACTGTTGGGGAAGACAGGATGGGGTGGGATTAAATGGCCAGGTACCTGGTCAGCCTTGTCAGAGACAAGGCTCCTACTTTCTTGGAGAATGGAGAAAAGAAGGCAGTGTAAGATCCCGTGAAGAGGTTCTGAGAAGGAGAAAATGCAGGCAGTTATTCACTCTACACTTGGTAATTGCCTCCTCTGTGCCAGGCGCTGTGCTTAGTAGGGCTCATGCAGAAAGAGGCCAACAGCAGTGTCTGCCCTCAGGGAGTTCACAGTGTAATGGGGGAGGCAGCAAGCACACACATAGGTACACAAAAGGTATAGACTTGTCAGTTGGCTATAGTTAATGCAATGAAGGCACTAGATTGCAAGGGAGGCGGCAAAAACAGAAGGTAGGATTTTGGTTGAGACGTGAAGGACCCAGAAGGCCTATGAGGAGGCAGAGAATTCCATCCATTCTGGAGAGCCAGAGACGATACCCAGAGCCTAGAGATGGAGTGTCTTCTTCCTGGCATAAGAAGGAGGGCAGTGCCATTGGATCAGAGAAGGTGGCAGGAAATCAAGTATAAGGAGACTGCAAAAGTAAGGGATGTCTGGGTCTTGATGAACTTTTAAAGGAAGATAAAAAGCAAGATGGACACATGAAAGTGTCTGGATAGTCAGTAGTCAGCATTTATGAAGCACCTTCTGTGTGCCATGCACTGTGTTAAGGCCTGGGGATTCAAACAGAAAAGAAGAAAGACTGTCCTGTCCCAGGGAGTTTACACCTTTAAGGTAAAGACACAGCAGAGAAAGAGATTTGGGGAAAAGGCACTGGGACATGATGGCAAAGGCAGTGAGAAGTTCCAAAGTAGTTCAGCCAGGGGCAAATGTGGACAGGTGTGAGCTGACCCTCTCCTTCTGTGGAGGTTTAGAGTACATGAGCTCACCCCATGGTGGGAAAGAGAGACTGTGGGAGGATGGAAAGAAAGAGGCATGCAAGAGCTTCTCATAAGAGCAGGTTAGGGATGCAATAGATAAATTATCAGTGAAGAAAAGCATGAATTTCCTGTAACGATTGTTCACACTGTGAATAAATTACAATACAGTGAAGGGTCATGACTCAGAACACCAAGTGAAAAGGGAAATGTTGGAAATTTGGGGGGATCTAAAAACTCAGGAGCAGTCTAAAAACTTCTTTAATTGCTCAGAAGTTCAGTAATAGAAACAAAGTAAGCTAAAAGTGAAGTATAGATTATAAATAGAAGATAAATAAGACACTTTAAATGGAATCAAAATGACAGAAAAGTGAAAGGGGATTTTTATTTACATCAAAGAAAATCCCTCTAAAATGATACAGCTTCAGAAAAAGTGAATCACAGCATTCTGCTAGAAATGGGAGAAAATGGAATGGAAGAGCTTCAGATGCCACCTGCATTGGCTAAACAGATGTTCTGCATGTATCAGGTTGAATAAATAGATGCGCCCTCCCAAGTATCAAAGGATTTGCAGATGTGGCCGCTCCCTTGAATGATAGAAATCCCTCTGCCTCTTGACTCATTCTCTTGGTTCGGATCCCTGATGTTGTAGCAGAATGTTGACATAATTTATTTTTCACAAATAAAGTGTGAGTGTCTTTCTTATGCCTGAGCTCAATCTCCAACCCCAGCCCATAATGTATTACCTTTTTAATGGAGGCAGGAACCCTCCTTTCCCCACATCGTTATGCTTATTTCTCTATAATTTAACCCTAAAATGAAAGTATTCCATGACCAATTGCAAGCCATAAGAAAGCAATGGCAGCAGATGGTTTTGACCCTGACACAACATGCCCGAGATCTCCACATCTCAGGGTAAAACTAGAGAACACTTCTTCACTTGGCTGGAAACAGGCTCATTCCATTCAGTTGAAGCCAGCTTGTAATATCTCTTTAGAATTCTTTTATTATTTTCATCTAGTTAAGAATTTGTTTCTTACTCTGAAGGAATTTACCAGATCATTCGTTTTTTTTCTTCTTTCCTCAGTATCACTGTTCAGTTTCCTCCGCAGAATACACAGTACTTACCAGTTCTTCCCGCACTCTTCATGGAATTTTCTTAATATGTCACTGATGACACTTCTGATGGGAGGAATTTCTCATGACCTCTCTTTCTCTTCCACAGATTCCTATACCTCACTGACAGTTCACATATCTTGTCCCCAATTCCATCGGGAGAAGCCTTGCATAGTAAAACATTTTTCTAGCTTTTATTATTCCATCATGATTCTTGCTTCAAATGTAAAATGCTTTTCTTCATATTCCATCGGGTTCTTAATGACTGGTTTCAAGTGTTGGCTGTGACACTCACAAAGGGTATATGAGTTTTAGGCAAATCTCTTTGTTTCAGTTTCCACCTCAAAATTGAAGAGGATTGGACTAGATGAGTACTGGAGTCTCTCAGCTCTAACTGATGTGACTTTTGATGCTTTAGGAGTTGGTGACATTCAAGGATGTGGTTGTGGACTTCACGGAGGAGGAATGGGGCCTCCTGGACCATTCTCAGAAAGAGCTATACAAAGAGGTCATGCAGGAGAACGTCCAGAACCTGCTGTCCCTGGGTAAGGACCATTTCCTCTTTTCTTGATGTTAATTGTCAGGCCACAGTTAGCACAAGCAGCAGAGGGATGGATCCATAGTCTGGTGCATCTCACCCTCAGAGGCTGCATTGAATGCAGTCATCTGCGTGCACCAGCTCGCCATGCGCTTTGGTCTTGGCTTGAAGCATTTTCAAGTTAAATAATTTTCCATCAGTCAGGTAGCTGGAGATAGAGAAGATTTGGGTTTATTCTCAGAGAAAGAAAGAGAAGTTAACAAAGCACTCTTACTTGAAAGGGAAATGTCAGTCTGTCAGAAGCCCAAAAAATATTCTTGGAAGAACTTAAAAAGTGCTTCAAAAATCAAATGAGAGACTGAGGAGAAATTAGGGGGGAAATAATAAGAGTAATCCGAGGAAATCAAAAAAATTATGAAAAGAAACTCAACCTAATATTAGAAAGGAGATCTAAAAACATTATAAAGAAAATAGCTTCTTAAAAAGTGGATTTGGGCAGGAAGAAGGCAATGAGAGAAGACACCAAGAAATACCTGAAACCAAAAGAATGAAAAAGTAGAAGAGAGTGTGAAACATGTCATTAGAAAAACAAATGATATGGAGAAGAGATCAAGGAGATACAGCATAAGAATTGTTACACAAGTATTATCTAAAAAAAAGAGTCTAGATACAATATTTGAAGATGTTTTAAGGAAAATTGCCCTGAAGTTCTAGAAGAGGAGGTAAAGTAGAAATAGAAAAAATTCACCATTCACCCTCTGAAAGAGATCCCAAGGTGAAAACTTACAGGAATATTACAGCAAAGTTTCAAAGGTCCCACATTAGGGAGCAAATACTGCAAGCAACAGGAAAAACACAATGTAAATATTCGAGGAGCTACAATCACCATAATACAAGACCTAGCAGGCTCTACGTTAAAAGACCATAGGGCTTGGGACATTATATTTCATAGAGCAAGGGAGCTGGGGTTGTGACCAAGAATACCTACTTGGCAAAGCTGATTATAATCCTGAATGAAAAAAACAGTGGACAGTTAATGATGTGTGAAAATGTTATTAGTACTCTTAAGAATGTTGTCATTACTTGGGTAGTTTGAAAGAAAAGCTTAAGCTGAGTTGAATATGATCTGTTGAATTGAAAAATTAAATTAGGTATGGAGAGGTAAAATGAAACAATTATCATATACAAATGAATCCTCTTGGAATTAGAGTGGAAGGCTGATATTGCTGGCACCTTATTCTCATTAGATTAACAGAAGAGGAAATAGAATATCTAACTAACCCTGTTGTAGAAAAGAAAATTGAACAGGCCCTAAATGAGCTTCCTAAGAATAAAGCATCTGGACCAGATGTATTTGCAAGGTAATTCTTACAAATGTTTTAAGGTCAACTAATTTCAATGTTAAATAAATTATTTGGAAAAAAATAGGCAAAGAAAGGATACTACCAAACTCCTTTTATGAAACCGATGTGATATTGATATTGAAATCAGGAAGAATACGAAAGAGAAACAAAATTATAGACCAACTTCATTAATGTATATGGATGCAAAAATCCTAAATAAAATACTAGCTAGGGGATTGTAATGATAAGTTACAAGAATTCTATGTTGTGACCAATTGGAACTTATGCTAGGAATGTAGGGATGCTTTAACCTAAGGAAAATTATTCACATAATTGAACATATCAATAATAAAAATCATATGAATGTGTTAATAGCTGAAGAAGCTTTTGATAAAATACAACATTCATTTGTATTATAAACCCTTGAAAACTTAGGAATAAATGAATTTTTCCTTAAATTAATAGAAAGCAGTTACCTAAAACCATCAGCAAGCACTATTTCTAATGGAAATAAGCTAGAAGCATTTCCAGTACGGTCAAGTGTGAAAGAAAAATGCCCATTGTCACCAATATTATTCAATATTATTTTGGAAATCCTAACAATACTAATAAGAAGAATATGAAATAGAAGGAATCAGAATAGGGAATGAGGTAATAAAAATACCTTTTTTTGAAGATTATATATATATATATATGTACATATATATATATACATATATATATATATACATATATATATTGAAAATCCCAAAGACATAACTAAAATGTTAGTTGGAACAATGCGTAATTTTAGCAAAGTAGCAGGATACAAAGTAAGTAAACAGAAATCATCAGCATTCTGATATATCACCAATCAAAACCCTACAAGGAGGGTTGGTAAGAGATACCTCATTCAAAATAACTCTAGACAGTATAAAATTCCTTTGAGTACACCTGTCGCAACAAACCGAGGAACTATGTGAACATAAATATAAAACCCCGAACATTTTATTTAAGTAAAATCAGATTTAAATAATTAGATTAATCGTTATTTCATAGGCAGGGCCACCATAATAAGAATGATCATTTTATCTACACGAATTTATATCTTCTATGCCATCCCAATTAAATTACCAAAAAATTCTTCCTGATTTAGAAAAAAAATAAAAACAATTCATTTAGAAGGACAAAAGTTCAATAACATGAAAGGATCTAAGGAAAAATAATGGTAAAAGAAAGAGATTGAGCAGAACCAGATCTTAAACCATATTATAAGGCAATAATTATCAAACCTGTCTGGTACTGGTCAAGAAATAGGCAGATCAGTGGAACAGTGTTAACATTCAATTTATAGCAGCAAATAAATAGAGTAACCTTGTATTTGTCAAGTATAAAGACTTAAGATTTTGGGATAAGAATTAATTATTTGGTAAAAAGAAAAATTGTAGGAAAAACTGGAAAGAAGTATGGACATAGACTAATATTTTACATTATTTGTCAAAGTAAAGTAAAAATGGGTACATGACCTAGATGTAAAGAGAGATAATACAAGAAAATTTGAAGGACATAGAATGTATTATTTATCAGAATTATGGATAAATGAAAAATTTATGAATAAAAGATAGAGAACAGAGTGAGGTGTGAAATGGACAATTCTGATTGCATTAAATTAAAAAGGTTTCGTACAAGTAAAAGCGATGTAACCAAGATCAGAAGGAAAACAGAAAATTGATGCAAAAAAATTTCATTTACACTTCTTCAGATATAGTTCTCATATCTCAGATATATGAAGATCTTTGCAAAATCTATAAGAATACAAATTATTTCCAAATTGATAAATGGTCAAAGGATATGGACATTTCTTCCAATGAAGAAATCCAAACAGTTTATAGTGATATGAAGAAACACTCTAAATCATTATTAATCAGAGAAATGCAAATTAAAACAATCTTGAGATACCATTTTACATCTATGAGATTGGGTAAAATGGTTGCAGGGAAAAGTGACAAATATTGGAAGGGATGTGGAAAAATTAAGACCCTGATTGTTGGTGTAATTGTGAACTGATCCATCCATTTTGGAAAGCAATCTGGAATGATGCCCAAAACAATATCTACCCTTTGATCCAGCAGTACCACTATTAAGTCTCTTTCCCAGGACAATTAAGGAGAATTTTAAAAAAAAACTTATTTTTAAAAAAATAGTTATGTCAGTTCTCTTTTTTGGTGGGGAGAACTGTAAATTTTGGGTTTGCCAATTAATTGGGGAATACCTTGAGAGAGATTGAGTACAACCTGAGGTAAATGGTTAGTAGATTTAAGAATTCTATGGAAGTGTTCGGCCCTTCTCTCCAGGATCATGTCCTTATCACTCCTCAGTGTGCCTCCATCAGCACTGAGTAGTTGAGGGGCACCATGGGTCTTTGGCCCATAAATAGCGTTCAGGGCCTCATAGGAGTTCTTTACATTGTTACTATCAGCATAAAACTGAATTTCATCTGCCTTTTTACTAAGGCATGAATCCTGCATCTCTCTAAGCTTTGCTGGTACTTCACTTCTGGTGGAGTTAAAGTTAAAACATCTTCCTAGATATGGGTGAACTAACCTACTGGTAGGCCCTGTAGACTTTTCATTATTTATTAGGTTTTGAATTTCCCCATCATTTTCATGAAACTAAGTTTGGATGCTTCCAAATGTTTTTTCCCACATGAGTAGATGTGGTCCTGCACAACAAATCTCTGAAAGCTCCTCCCTTCTCTGCTGGAATGCTGCCAACCCTGTGTTGGCTCAGCTTTTTCTCCAAGTTATCCACTATCTGCTGTCCCAGGGGGAATCACTCTAGGCTGGTGACATGAAGCCTGGCCGCCATCTTGCCTTGTGGCTGCTGCTCTTGTTGAATGTGTATGTTGAGCTTGGAGTGAATAAGTGTGTGGTGGGTCCAGCACTCTAGTGTGCACCCCCTTTCTCACTCACGGCCTGTCTGTCTCCTCTGCTTACAATGGCACAGTCTGTTGAATGTCAGTGTTTGCTCCAAGAGTATATTTGTTGCATTTAGGTTGGTGATAAGAACGTCTTGAGCTGCGTAAGTCTCAAGTAACTGCTGCTGTTACATAAGCTTTTGTGTGTATATCTTTTGGTGTATATGTGTTTGATTATTTCTTTTCTTCAGGTGTAGAGACCAAATTTGAAGTAAATGAGGTGCCTAGAAATCTTGGAATTTTTGTGGAAGAACGTGACCTGCACAGATTCATGAGTGATGGTCCCTGTGGCTTCAATTGGAGAGAAATCCATGACTCTAATATGAAGTTAGACCAAAATCCAAAGAGTGACTGTGAATTTGATGAAATTGGACAGAGATTCAGACAGTCTTCAATCCCAAATCAGTGTAAGAAAATGACCTCAGGCAATGACTGTGTTCAGGATAGTGAATATAGCAAGTGCTTTACTGAAGGGCTAGACCTTTTTCCATCCCATGGGAAGCCTCCTGAAATGCCAGTGTATCCAGGTAACCAATGGGAAATGGCCTTCAGCTGGAATTCAGATCTCCTTAGACATGAGAAGAGTGATACTGGAGAAATGCTTTCTGCAAGTAATAAAGGTGGGAAGCCCTTGAGTCAGAATTGTAGGCTCACTACTCACCAGCACATTCCCATCAGAAAGCAGCCTGATGAATATAGTGAGGGGGAAACAACCTTATCCTATCATTCATCTTTTCCTTGCCAGTCTGAATTTCACCCTGGGATGAAAAGATATGCATGTCCTCAGTGTGGGAAGTCCTTTGGTTGGAAATCAGATCTTTATAGATCTGAGAAGATTCATACTGGGGAGAAGTTTTGTAAATGTGAGATAGCTTTCTGCTTCAAATCACTCCTTCTTGGCCTTCAGAGAATTCACACTGGAGAGAAAAGTTATGAATATAATCAGTGTGGGAAGACTTTCTCACTTAGGAAAAGTCCCGTTGCCCATGAGAGAATCCACAGTGGAGAGAAGCCTTATGAATGTAATCACTGTCCAAAGGCTTTCGCACGGAGGGCTAATCTTGCTGCCCATCTGAAAACCCACAGTGGAGAGAAACCTTTTGAATGTAATCACTGTGGAAAGGCTTTCACACAGAGGAGCAGTCTTAGTACACATCAGAAAATCCACACAGGAGAGAAACCTTATGAATGTAATCACTGTGGAATGGCTTTCAGACAGAGCTCCAGTCTCACTGCACATCAGAGAATCCACACTGGAGAGAAACCTTATGAATGTAATCACTGTGGAAAGGCTTTCAGACAGAGCTCCAGTCTTACTACACATCAGAGAATCCACACTGGAGAGAAACCTTATGAATGTAATCGCTGTCAAAAGACTTTCACACAGAGAGCTCATCTTGCTGCCCATCTGAAAACCCACAGTGGACAGAAACCTTTTGAATGTAATCAACGTGGAAAGGCTTTTTCAATGAGGTACAATCTTGCTGAACATCAGAAAATCCACACTGGAGAGAAACCTTATGAATGTAATCACTGTCAAAAGACTTTCACACAGAGAGCTCATCTTGCTGCCCATCTGAAAACCCACAGTGGAGAGAAACCTTTTGAATGTAATCAACGTGGAAAGGCTTTTTCAATGAGGTACAATCTTGCTAAACATCAAAGAATCCACACTGGAGAGATACCTTATGAATGTAATCAATGTGGAAAGGCTTTTTCAAGGAGGCCCAATCTTGCTGAACATCAGAGAATCCACAGTGAAGAGAAACCTTTTGAAAGTATTCAGTGTGGAAAGGCTTTCACCCAGAGATCCACCCTTGGTGTGCCTCAGAGAATCCACTCTGGAGAGAAACCTTATGAATGTAATCACTGTGGAAAGGCTTTCACACAGAGGAGCAGTCTTAATACACATCAGAAAATCCACACAGGAGAGAAACCTTATGACTGTAGTCACTGTGGAATGGCTTTCAGACAGAGCTCCAGTCTTACTTCACATCAGAGAATCCACACTGGAGAGAAACCTTATGAATGTAATCACTGTGGAAAGGCTTTCAGACAGAGCTCCAGTCTTACTTCACATCAGAGAATCCACACTGGAGAGAAACCTTATGAATGTAATCACTGTCGAAAGACTTTCACACAGAGAGCTCATCTTGCTGCCCATCTGAAAACCCACAGTGGAGAGAAACCTTTTGAATGTAAGCAACGTGGAAAGGCTTTTTCAATGAGGCACAATCTTGCTGAACATCAAAAAATCCACACTGGAGAGAAACCTTTTGAATGTATTCAGTGTGGAAAGGCTTTTACCCAGAGATCCATCCTTGGTGCACATGAGACAGTCCACTCTGGAGAGAAGCCTTATGAATGTAATCAATGTGGAAAAACTTTCAAAATGAGGCAGAATCTTGCTACCCATCTGAAAATCCACAGTGGAGAGAAACCTTTTGAATATAATCACTGTGGAAAGACTTTCACACAGAGGAGCAGTCCTAGTACACATCAGAAAATCCACACAGGAGAGAAACCTTATGAATGCAATCACTGGAAAGGCTTTCATATCTAGTAATATCTTGCTGAACATCGGGGAATCCACACTGGAGAGAAGCCTTACCAATGTAATCAGTTTGGAAAAGCTTTCACAATGAGGCAGAATCTTGCTACCTATCTGAAAATCCACACAGGAGAGAAACCTTATGAATGTAATTACTGTGGAAAGGCTTTTGCACGCAGGTACCATTTTGCTGTAACATCAGAATATCCACAATGGAGAGAAGCCTTATGATTGTAATCAGTGTGGGAAATCTTTCACACAGAACTCACATCTTGCTTTACATCAGAAAATTCACAGTGGAGAGAAACCCTAGGAATGTAACTAATGTGGAAAGGCTTTCAGACAGGGATCCAGAATTGTTAACATCAAGAAGTTGATACTGAGGAGAAATCTTATTAATGTAATCAATGGAGAATGATTTCACACCTCAGATTTTGTTAAACATCAGAGAGTCCACATTGCAGAGAAACCTCATGAGTGTTGCAAAGCTTTTAGTTACCACTCTTAACATATATAACAGAAGAGATTCCACACTTGGGAAAAGCCTTATGAATATAACCAAAGTGGTGATGCATTCAGGTAACAATCATCTATTGCCTATCTCAGAAATCATATTAGATAGAAAAGTCATGAGTAAAGAAAAGCATTCAAATGGAGTTCAGAGTTTCTGGACTTTTAGAGAAACCATTCTGAGGAACAGATCCCTGTGCACTCAGTGTGGGAAGGCTTTCAACTAGAGATCAGCTGTTTCTTTCTATCAGAGGTTCCATTGTGGAGAGGCGGAGCCAAGATGGCAGAGTGAAAGCAGTGACTTGCTTGAGCTCTCCTCCAAACCCACCCAAATACTCATAAAAAATGGCTCTAAACAAATTCTGAAGCAGCAGAACCCACAAAAAGACAGAGTGAAACAAATTTCCAGCCCAAGAAAGCCTGGATGATTGATCAGAAAGTTGTATCGTGCCGGGCTGGGAGCACAGCGTGGGCGCACAGGCAGCCGCAAACCTGCAGCAGGCCTCAGAGGACTGAATCGCGGGCAGCTGTGGAAATTTCCAGACTCCTTAATCCACCAATGCCAAAGACAACTTAGAAGGTCAGTGGGAAAAGTCTGTTTCTGTAGGTGCTGAGAAAGGAAGGCAGGGTTTCAGCTCCATTCCCCAAGAATGTGGTGCTGGGGGGGTAGCTGCTTCCCGAGCTTCCGGCCCACAGACTGAGGGGGAATCCAGTGGCTGATCAGAGAGGGACTGCAGGGATCTCTTTGCCAGTGCTGAGACAGGAATCTCTTGCTTTGCCCAGGTTTGGATCTGGGTCAGAGTTCTGGGTAGTGGTGCTAGGGTGAGGAGGAGTGCTGTCTTGGTGGAGCTTGTAGTGATTGTGGAGAGGAGCTCCTCCTCACAGTTACAGTACAGAAAGGAGTACTTGTGGTCACAGGCCAGGAAAGGAGTAAACACTTCACCCCTTATCATACCACCTTGGAAGAACTGAAAATTTACAGATCCCTACAAGTATCTCTGAAAACAGCTGTACAAGCCTCCCGAAGCTTGGGACACTACATTCTCCACATTGGAAGCAGAGTCTTACCTTAACAAAGAGTTTAAAACTCAAGTAATTGGCCAGGATCATGAGCAAGCAGCGCAAAAAGAGTCAGACTATATTATCTTACTTTGGTGAAAAAGAAGATGAAAATATACAACCACAAGCAGACAACAAAGTCAAAGCTCCTACATCCAGTGCGTTCAAGAAAAATATGAATCAGTCCCAGGGCTTAGAAGAGCTCAAAAGGGAAGCAAGTAAGGGAAGTAGAGGAAAAACTGGGAAGAGAAATGAGAATGATGCAAGAAAATCATGAAAAAAAAGTCAACAGCTTGCTAAAGGAGACCCAAAAAAATACTGAAGAAAATAACACCTTAAAAAATAGCCTAACCCAAATGGCAAAAGAGGTCCAAAAAGCCAATGAGGAGAAAAATGCCCTAAAAAGAAAAATTGGCCAAATGGAAAAGGAAGTCCAAAAGATTACTGAAGAAAATACTTCCTTAAAAATTAGAATAGAGCAATTGGAAGATAGTGACTTTATGAGAAATCAAGAACACTGTAAAACAAATCCAAAAGAATGAAAAATTAGAAAGCAATGTGAAATATCTCATTGGAAAAACAACTGACCTGGAAAATAGATCCAGGAGAGAGAATTTAAAAATTATTGGACTATCTGAAAGCCATGATCAAAACAAGAGCCTAGACATCATCTTTCAAGAAATTATCAAGGAAAACTGCCCTGATATATTAGAACCAGAGGGCAAAATAGAAATTGAAAGAATCCACAGATCTCCTCCTGAAAGAGATCCCCAAAGGAAAACTCCTAGGAATATTATAGCCAAATTCCAGAGTTCCCAGGTCAAGGAGAAAATATAACAAGCTGCCATTAGGAAACTTCAAGTACTGTGGAAACACAATCAGGATAACACAAGATTTAGCAGCTTCTACATTAAAGGACAGGGCATGGAATATAATATTCGGAGGGCAAAGGAGATAGGATTACAACCAAGAATCACCTACCCAGCAAAACTGAGTATAATCCTTCAGGGGAAAAATGGTCATTCAGTGAAATAGAGGACTTTCAAGCATTCTTGATGAAAAGACCAGAGCTGAATAGAAAATTTGACTTTCAAATACAGGACTCCAGTGGAACATGAAGAGGTAAACAGGAAAGAGAAATCATAAGAGACTTATTAAGATTGAACTGTTTACATTCCTGCATGGAAAGATGATATTTATAATTCATGAGACTTTTGTCAGTATCAGGGTAGTTGGAGGAAAAAAATTATATGTATCTATATGTAGTTAGATAGGTAGAGGTCACAGGGTGAGCTGAAGATTAAGGGGTCATGTCTGGAGAATAAAATTAAGGTATGAGAGAAGATGATACTCAGAGAAGAAGAAAGGGAGAGGTAGAATGGGGTAAATTATCTCACAAAAAAAAACAGAAAAGAAAAGTCTCTTACAGTGGAAGGGGAAACAGGGGAAGGTGAGAGGGAATGAGTGAATCTTATTCTCATAGGATTTTGCTTAAGGAGGGAATAACAGACACATTCAATTGAGTATGGAACTCTGTCTTACCCTACAGGAAAATAGGGGGAGAAGGGGACAAGAGAACAGGGGCATGATAGAGAGGAAGGCAGATTGGGAAAGAGGGTAATCAGAAATAAATACTTCTGAGGAGGGACAGGGTCAAAAGAAAGAATAGAATAAGTGAGAGGGCAGAATAGAATTAAGGGAAATAGAGTTAGTTTTTTACGACATGTCTACTGTGGATGTGTTTTGCATAACTGCACATGTACAACCTATATTGAGTTGCTTGCCTTTTCAATGAGGGTGGGTCGGGAGGGAGGAAGATAGAAAATTTGAAACCTAAAGTTTTAAAAACATATGTTTTTAAAAAAATGTTTTCACATGCTACTGGGAAATAAGAAATATAAGAAATGGGGTACAGAAGTCTGTCCTGCCCTACAGGAAAACACAAGGGGAAGGGCATAAGGAAGGGGAGAGAGATAGAAGAGAGGACAGACTAGGGGAAGGGGTATTCAGAATGCATGACATCTTGGGGTGGGGGGAGGGGGAGATGGGGTGAAAATTTGGAACTCAAAAACTTGTGGAAGTGAATTTTGAAAACTAAAAATAAACAAATTTATATTAAAAAAAACAGGTTGCATTATGGAGAGAAACCTTATAACTATGCTCACAGGCACCATGCTTTTCTCTGGAGGAGGGTGATCAGTAGACACCCTTATTCCTACTGGAATGAAGGTGGATAAAGGCAATGGATGTGGGAAGGGCTTTCACTAGAGCTCCTACTTTAATTTGGAGAAATCATACTGGAGATAAAACTTTGGAATCTAGTTACCAAGGGAAGGCCTACTGCTGCAGCACAGACTTCATTCGATCTGCAAACAAGAGACCTCATTAAAGATCCCCACATTCCATCCTGTATCTAAAACAGTATTCATGTAAGGATTATTCCCTGAAATTCCGATCTTTGTCATCCCATCTCAGTATTTCATGGTGTTCATAGATTCTTATTTCTTCTAAGACATTTTGTAGACCTGAATGAATCCTCATCCAACCACCAACTTTCCCTCTTCCTCCAGTTTTCCAAGACTAAGTACATGCCTCTGGTGTTTTCAGTCTCCACTACTCTGTGCTCTACCCTCCTCTGAGGGACTCTGTGTGGCCTCCTAGGCATTCTCTTTTCCCTTATTTTAGAAAACAAAAATTAAATACCCTTTTCCCCTTCCCCCACCACTTTTGTATTTTCAAAAATTTTTCCAAAAACCCCTCTATTTCTCTCTAGCTGGCTTGACATGCATTGCATGGTAGTTTAGCCCAAAACCTGCTCTCTTAAGTGGATGATTTAGAACTGGGTCAATTTGGGATTTGGGGGTATAAGGTTACATGCCCTTAGAAGAGCAGGTCTTCCCAAGGGGTACCAATCACTTCTGATTGGTCAACACAGTGGGAGGTATGGTATATTAAAATGAACTCTTGAGTTAGTGACTTATGTTTCTTAATCCTGACCTTTTCTATCAGACCACCCCCAGTGTTGGGCTATGTAGGCAGAAGAAAATGTCTCTACACAAACTGGAGCAGATTAAATCAGTTCTGGCCTGGGATGGAGTGTAACAAGGTTAAGATTATCAGTAATGTCCTTGTGAAAAGTGAAGGGGGTTGAGAGCCCTGAATCACAGCCATTAAGGGTTAAAGTCAGAGGTGGAGTAGGAGGGTTAGAGTTAGAGGCACTAGTCCCTAAGTGGCTCCAACCCTAAATACTTCTCACTCTAATGTTAAATATACAGCACTACAGAAATAAGGATTGCACTAATTGAAATGGTGCCCAACAAGGATAGCAGGGCCTCTGAGTGGCCTCTAAAGGGCTGAGTGAAGCAGGAATCATGGCATGAAAGGGGGAACAAAGACCACTTCATCTTTGAAGGCTAGTCAAAGTATAGGTAAGCCATTTGACCTCTGTCACCTCCTGGCTCAGACCTACCTGGGAATTGCAAGCCCAGCACTGAATTGTCAGGAGACATAATTATCTGAAGGAAAAGGGCTACTTCTTCCATCTAGGGAGTCTGCCAGGAGGAGGAGTCCAAGGCAGAATCTGCCTAGAAATGTAGGCCATATGGAAAGGAGAAGGCCCTAGGGGCCTCTATGAACCAAGGCCATTATGAGGGGTCCTGGTGGCTTTTTCTGCCTCAGTCCTGAGGCCCCAGGATCATCCTCTTCCTCAATTCACACTCATGGCTAGAAACTCAGGCCCCTGCATTTTCTCTCCTACTATTCCTGGTCTCCATCAGCTGCAATGCCATGGCCATGGGAATGATCCCTCTTCTGCCTTGACCTTGTCCTAGTCCACCAGCATCCACTCCAAGGTTCACATTCTACCTGAGGCAAAATGCAAAAGGCCTCTTCCCCCTGAGAGCTCTTCCTCCTTCATCTGTCCATCCTTTCCCACACTCTCCTTGATCCTACTGTGGGATCCAGACCCTTCTTCTGAGCAGAAAGACTGCCACAATCAAACTTTGGCTATAGACTAAGCCAAAGGAGTGGGCCTATATTTTGAGGTGCTGGCAACAAATGGAAATGAGTTTGTCCTAAATTAAATGAACGTGGTCTGCTTTAAAGTGCCATGTGTTCTCCTTTCAAGGTACCTGTGATGTTTTGCCCTGTATTGGTGGGTCATACCTTCCTGAAAAGTAACTCTTACAATTTGGCATTAAAACAATATGCTCCAAAATGATAAAGATGAGAATGAAGAACATCATGGGATCAAAATGACTCTATCCTGATAAGTGAATGCAAT